TTGGGAAACAGTAGGTGCAAAGGTAGCACATGACAGCTGTTACAAAACATAACCCAGAAAAGAAACACTCTGCCTGGCTTTCAGGATTTTATTATTATTGTCTATATCAATAAAGTAGACTTCTAGTATTTCTTCTAGTTGAAAGGGTGACATCAACTTTAAAAACTGGGCAGAGTTTCTCTTTTCCTCCCTCTTATACTCATGAAAATCAGTGTAGGGCAATCTTGAGTTTCTTCCTCATCCCTTCTGTCTTTCCAGGCTAAGCTGATGACCAATGTAAGGTCTAGCTCAGTGGTGGCGAACCTATGGCACGGGTCTCTGAGGCGGCACTCAAAGCCCTCTCTGTGGGCATGTACACCGTTGCTCCAGTCCTAGGCTTTCAGCTGGATTTTATAAAACCTTTTCGCTTTAGGCCTCCGCTGCCATGTGCAAAAAAAAAAAGTTCAATCAATCAGTCAATTTCAACTTCTCGCGGGGAAAAAAAGATCTTGCAAAGTTGGAATTGATTGATTGAACTTTTTAGTCCCACCCAGTCTGCCATTACCACTGCAGCCACGCCCACCCAATGAGTCACCTCCCCAATTGGCCACACCCACCCAGCACCCGACAATGCATAAGGGGTTTTGGGTTGCAGTTTGGGCACTCGGTCTCTAAAAGGTTCACCATCACTGACCTAGCTGGTCAGAGTCTATTCCAAAGAATGGGGTTGCAGCAGAGCATCAGTTCCCACCCCAGCCACTTCCTGAACTGAGGAAATTCAGAACATTCCCCCTCTCAGTTAGAAGGGACAGGCTGACCAGTGTCACAAGAGATGAGACAATCTCATTCCCTATGTGGGCTTTGCTAGTTAAAACCAGCACTTCAAATTGCACTCAGAAACACATTGGAAGGTAGAGGCACTAATAATATTAACAAGACATTGATACAATATTTTTTATGAATGAATAGGGAAAGCACCGTATAGCAAGAGCTTTACTTTCTGCTTTCTGTTATTTCAGACCTGCTTTCAGTTAATGATATCCATCCATCCATCCATCCATCCATCCATCCAGTTGTTCTACTGGCAATATATAATGGCGGGAGTTACTTTCCTCAAGTAATCAGTCAGGCCTCCCTGGAGTGAAATGAGCTGGCAAGTTGTTCATGAGGTTTCACATGTTTTTGTTTTGTGCTGTAATAGAAACCGTCTGTATTGCTTGGCCTGGCTTTTCTGCAAATACAAATGCTGATGTAATTAAGAGTGCAGGGAGGGAAGGCACTAAATGGCACACAGGAAGAAATAAGGAGGTTTGATCCTTGAGCTGCAGTACTATTGAAAAATTCTGACACTGAGATATTAGCAAACAGCTACTGTAGTTCCTATGTTGATTAGTTCTAGCAAGGACTGAAACCTGTTCAGTGTGAAATCTTCTCCACAGTACAAGTCACTCTTTGCAATGCTGCCCTGCCCAAATGCTAGGATCCTGAGAGCTTCCCAGGGATGTCACTTCTGCCACTTTTTCGAACTATGTAATGACATAATTACAGCAAAGTCTTGTGCTTTTGGGTGGGCCTCAGTTCTCTTTGATCCTTTTTGAATGGTTAAGTTCCAGTGATACTGATTAAGAAGCACAAGATTAGAAGGGAGGAAAAACAGTGAAAGACTGGGACAGAGAGGGAACATCACAGAGGAAATTTAGCATTTATTTGTTTTGATTATTCTCCTGGAGGACTGTTGGTTTAATTATGAAGATCAAAAAATTACAGAAAATATCCTTGAAGCAATCCAGTAACCTGGCCAATTCTTGTTTTCTGCTGGGTCATAGATGGGCAGAGTGATATTTGCTCCCCTCCCCACTGAAAAGGATTGGAGACAAATTCTCAGCCCCATAGAAAGATAGGGTACACAGGACACTATAGTTTGCCCCTATAGCTAAATCATCTCTTCCACTATTCATACTCTGTTTCCGGTTGAGGGATACATACTTGGGGTTATATGTCAGTTAAAGGACTATGACTTCTTAATAGCAATGGTCTTAATATTGCAATGGAAATGCATGTGTATCAATTATGGATGCAGGGTGACTGAAGAATGAAGGTGCTTATATTGTTCTTGTATAATGGCTTGGGCAACACAATCTACTGCATATTTTGATCTTAGAATTTTATTTTTTTGATTATCTACTTTATAAACTGCCTAAAGAGTGGCAAAAAATAAAAAAAGATTCCATCGCTGTAAAATAGAAATAATCATCCACACTCTAATAGTAATCTCTGTGTGCATCTTGCCAAACTGAGAATTGTTGCATTAATACATGTGTTTGTATAACTGACCCAGCAGTTTGCTTTCGTGTCATGCAGTATACGTTCTTTTCCAAGGGGGTCATTAAAAGCAGAACATTCAGGTTTAATATAGCCTGCTTTGAACCAAGTGTAAATATTGCAAGTTATAAGCTTCAGTTCCTTTTACTTCCTGTTTTTTTGATAAGACTTTTGACATGCAGCTAATTATACTCAATGTTTTATACATTTCTGAATATTTAAGTCCTCCATGGAGAGCTCTCTCTCTCTCTCTTGTTGGGAAAAAAGGAAGAGCTGTGTGTTGGACTTTGCTACAAAGAGAAAACTGGATTGAAATGAAGTTTCTCCATCTCTCATCTAGTAAAGTGGAAACATTGCTGTGGCATGGGTAGAGATTATTGTTAACAAATGGGAGTTAGTCATGGAGAAATGGGGCAAAGCTTGGTTCTTCATCTCACACTCTGACGAATCCCTATCATGCTGCTTTAGCTTCTATTCAATTTAGGAACATCTAATGTCGGGAAGAACTGGTCTTTGGTGATGAGAGTAAATTAAGAGATTGGAACCCACTCTCTTCAGAGCCCTGTCTCTTGGATAGCACATTCTACATTTGAAAACATCCTTAGTTTATATAAAATATATGTGATAGGACAAATAATTCAGCAGCACCACCCTTTGACATCTCCGGAGTATTTTTTTAGTGCAGGTAGGGCATTAGAACACAGTGGAATAATCCAGATGGCCATTTTGCCATGCTTTCTTCCCATCCTAAAGCCAGGGTGAATCATGTCAGCATCAGTTGTGTTATTCCCACTCCATGTCCTTAATGGACTTCTGAATTTTTTTTCTATAGTACTGCTGACTTATCAACTTAACCACTTAGCTGACAAAGCTTTCCTCTCTTGCCCAAGGTTCAGCAACACCTTAGCTCTACAGTATTGGATGGTAAATACTAAAAAGTACCATTGTCTGAAAGGTTTTGTCCCTTGTAATTCTGGAGAGGTAAAAACTACAGAACATATTATTCTTTCCTGGTCTTTTTATAGAGACATCTGAACCAGATTCATACTACCTCTAATTAATAGATATCCCGGTTGCCCAGATTCAGCCTATGAGCAGATGCTGCTCATAGATAAACTACCTTTTGTTACAGCATATGTAGCTAGGTTTTGTGGAGCATCACAGAAGATCCATCAGACCCTGATGGGCCAATTTTCCAATGCATTCTATGTAACTATAATTCACTTAAATTTTAGAGCACTTTGTTATAACTTTTGATGTTATCATATTTAATATAATTTTAGTGCTTGCGTTATAATTTGATATAGGCCGTATCACGCACCTCACTTATATGTATTAGGTTGTTTTACAAATGTATTTTAACTTTGTCTTAAATTTTATTTCTATGTGAATGATCTCAGCTTAGGGCAGTAAGGATGTGGGAACAACACAATCTTACACTGTAAGAGACTTCTAACAAAGTAAATAGGTAATGTTTAAAACAAGTGGTGTTCAGGAATTAGATTTTCCTGGGCATTTTTTTTTCTTCTTGGCCATGGACTCTTCTATTTCACAGTTGAATATTCTGTCTATTTGGCCCCAACATAATGGACAAAAATCACTTACGTCTGTTTCACCAGTTTAAGGGTACATTTTGGCTTGCTCTTTTGAGCTTGGATGCGAATGGCAGTTGGTTTGGCAAAAAAAGATGGAGGAGAGTCAGCTGTTTCCTGCTTTAGGGGGGCTCAAATAATATCTCCAGCCTGTACTTTGAAATGTGTTCTGGTCAGAATCCAATCTCTCTCTTTTTTCCCCTCTGTAGCACAGCCATAATCTCCAAGGAGAAATATTAGCCAGATGAAGAAAATGCCAAAATATTTGGGTACACAGAAATGTTAAAATATGACAAATTCCCCATGTCTTTATTTTTTTTAAATTTAAGATTCAAAGACCAAATGATATCCACAAAGTATAATTTTCCCACAAAATTGATATTTTTCAAGAGAAAAGAAACACATAATATCTCCCATGTTTGTTCAGCAGAAAACTCAGTTAGATACATCTGCATTCAAGCAAAAAACTAGCTAATTCTTCTAGGCAAAATTATGCCCATCATTCAGTAACTACAAATATACCCATTGCCAGCAGTGGCGTTCACATCTGGAGAGTCCCGATAAGTTAAAATTAGTATTTTAAATGCTAAATTCATTGTCTTTATAAATTAAAGAAAAAGAAAAGATGGTTGATTTCCCTGGGTTAAGATCATTGGTACCATTCATTAAGGATCCTGAATGGCAACCTGTTTATTGGAGATAAATGTAATGAAAATAAAAGGAATGCAGCAAGCAATGTTCTTCTGCGTGATGCTGCAAAAATAAAGAATTAAAAAAATAAAGCCATTTCCCGAGTGAATTGCTTTTTCTTCAGCTTAGAAAAGGGTAGTGCCAGAGGGAAAGGACAGATGGATTCACTTTTCTTCTGCATTTTTTCACACAAAACAGCAGCCCCATACAATGGTCCACATGGCCTCAAAAAACTCACCTTAATAGGATTGTATGGACAGAATGCAAGACTGTCCTGTTCAACTGATAACATTGCACATACGTTTTTTTATTATTGCAGGTCCTGAAGTAACTTGTACAAAAATGATAGACTTAAGCAGTGTTTCTCAACCTTGACAATTTTAAGGCATGTGGACTTCAACTCCCAGAATTTCACAGCCAGCAGTGCTGGCTGTGGAATTCTGGGAATTGAAGTCCACATGCCTTAAAATTGTCAAGGTTGAGAAACACTGGCTTAGAGAAATCAGTCCATTCATTTGTCACTGAACCACCATAATTAAAAATTAAAATTCCTTCCTATCCACTCAAATCTTAACTCCAGAATGGACTGAAATCCCTCTGAATTCAACAGAATGCTTCCAGAACAGGGACTTGGGTCTTCTGCTTTTTTTCACAGAACCTAAATGGTGTTATGTCATCATGAAAAATTCAAGGATGGAAGTAAAGTTTGTAAAACTTTCTCAGCTTCTTCATCCTAAAAAGGAAAAAAGGAAAAGAATTAAGCTTATGTAACTATGCCTTAAGAATCGCCCAGAGCTGCTTGAAGCCAGCACCAATTTTTGCATCAAAACAAGAGATTACGTTCAGTGTTAATAGTGCAGAAAGGATTACTGGTTCATTCTTCTTTCAAATGCAGTACAAAAACAAAGTAGGGGAAAAAAGAGAAGACGCTACTATTATATTATACTTTTCCTTTCCAATTTCCTTCTAAAGAAGTGTAATGAGGTGTTGTCTACAATTCTAATGGCTTATAATTAAAGGTTTTCAACTTCCAACAGTCACCTTTGGAGGTGTTTCAGTGAACCCAACATTCCTGTGGCTTTAAGTTTCTAATTTGCATTTTCTCCCTCTCCTTTGTTGCTGTTAAAACACAGATTCTCAGAGGGACTCAGCAGTTTTGTTGGTCTTACAGCTGCTCAGCATCTCTGAGCATTTTTTTTTTGTTCGTGAACTTCAAGTTCAGCTCCCACAAACCTGGGTGGCCTTTTGGAAATGAAATTATATTAAGTGACACATCTCTAAGCAAACATTATTTGCACAAAATTATTTTCTACCCGGTTTAGACTCCATAACTATATCGCCACCAATTTGCTCATAGTGTAGTTGAAAACAAGAAACTGGCCTAAACTGCTTTCTGGGAGAAAGTCAACGACAGATTTTGACAAAATATACAGAGAATTTACACTATACAGGTAGTCCTCGACTTACGACCACAATTGAGCCCAAAATTTCTGTTGCTATGTGAAATGCTTGTTAAATGAATTTTTGCCCCATTTTACGACCTTTCTTGCCACAGTTGTTAAGTGAATCACTGTAGTTGTTAAGTTAGTCACATAGTTGTTAAGTGAATCTGGCTTCCCCATTTATGTCAGAAGGTCACAACAGGTGATCACTTGACCCCAAGCGTCTGAATTTTGATCATGTGACCATGGGGATGCTGAAATTGCCATAAAAGTGAAAAATGGTTATATGTTAGTTTTTTTCAGTGCCATTGTGACTTTGAACGGTCACTAAATAAATTGTTGTAAGTCGAGGACTACCTGTGAATGTATACCCATTCATTGTCAAGGCCATGGTTTTCCCCACTGAAAGACAAAGCCATGAAAGCTCGATCATCAAAACTAAGAAGAATTGGCACCCTTGAATTGCTGGACAATATTGCTAAAATACTTTGGCCTGCAAGCAGAAGAAATCATCAACATAACAACTCATTGAAGTAAAACCTCCTCATTGGAAACATCTATATAAATAAAAATGTAAATGTTTGTTTGTTCAAAATCTTAAATCTCCGAAAGTTTTTCACCGATTGCTTTGAAATTTTGACACAATGTTGCATTCGAATACACGTGTGTTTTTATATACCTGTATTATATAGGTCACACCTGTGACAAGTAAAAACATGCTTTTTTTGAAAAACAGGTAAAACATGCTTTTTTGAAAAACAGCGCCATCTGTTGGACGTAATCTCTATATCTGCACACACAATGGAACAACAAAAAATATTGTATACCCACACATTGTGAAATTAAACATATTACAAACGTGCGCTTTCTCTTTTCTTTCTTGAGCCACAGCAATGCATGGCTGGGTATAGCTAGTTAATAATAAAGGTAAAGCTTAAGTATTTTAGATATTTTTAGATGCATAAACTGAAGGCAAAAATTATGTGAGAAGACCTTTATACCTGAAAAAAATGAAAGGAAACTGAAAAAGATGTCAAAAGGCAGGAACTATCATATGTAGTAGATTTGTGAGAAAGCTAAGAAATGTTGGATACCAATTCAGATAATGATGCAAAGAATTTTAAAGACTGATGTTGCCAAAATAAAACAGAACTCTTTTTATTGGGACTTATGGGCAATGAATTAGAAAAATATTCATGGTGAGCTGATTTTGTATATAGTCACTGCAGCAAGATTATTTTATGTATAATGAGGAAGAAGAACCAAATCTTCACAGTAGAAAAATGGGTTGTAAAAATGTCAGAATTCATAGAAATGGCAACATTGACCTATCTGGTCAGGAAAAGAACAACTTTCCTGTCTGGAAAAAGTCTGGAAACTTTTTTTTGCTGAAATAAGAAAGAAATGACACAATGACTTATGGGATTGAAGGTTAAGAATGATATAATTTAAGTAAGAGGCTAAGGGACTTATATAATATCTAAGAGGGAGGAAGGACTATAAAATTGTAACTATTTGTTGAAAGGTTGAGAGTTACATTTCTTAGCTTTAGGGTTTTTTCCCCCTTTTTTCTTTTGATTTGTTTTTTATGGTTTTTTAAAAAATATAAATAAAGGGAAAAGAACTGACAAAAGACAAGGGAGTCAGATATTATCACTTGTGACACAAGCATGAACTTACAATAACTTTTTTTTTTTTTTTTTTTTACCAGAAACTAATCCTGGCAAAATAAGAGTCAGAAGTGACTGAACTGAATGAACAACAAATTTAATGAATTCAACGAACAACATAAATACTACTTTAAAATAAACACAACCATTTATTTACAAGCATAAGACAGTCTCTGTTTGCTACAAATGTCAGAAATGTCAATATAGGGATTTAGCAGTATTAGGGTTTATCTGTCCTTTGGAAACTATCAGAGAACTTTGCACTGTACTCTCTGGAATTAAGCAGCAAAAAAAATGAGCATGAAAAAGATAAAATCTACTTCAAGTTGAGTTACAGAGATATATAGCCAAGTGGTTTTCTTGGCAACAGTATGGACATGGACATTGTCACTGCTGACTTCTGAGATACATTTCCCTAGTCTAATGTATTATGCGGGGATCTCTGGAGTCCTTCTGTCTAAGTCTTAAACAAGAATGATCCTGCTTAGCTTTAGATCAGTTGAGGCCCAATCCAAGGATAGTTGAATACTGTTGCTTATATTGGAGACCAATATTGAAGCTTCACGTCTTCAAATATAAGCCAGATAGATAGTTGCAATTAAGACCATAAAAAATAGCTGAGTAATAATGTATCAGTGCTGGAGAGGAATTTATAGTATTCATTCTCAACCTCTAAAATTTATACTTACTTGCATAATTGCACAGTTAAAAGGACTAGGCAACTAAATCATAATGAGATATAATTTCAATGATTCCTTATTCCCTTTATTTTTAAAGCATAATGAATCAGTGGGCTTAATAGCGTTAAGTAGCCATTTTCTTCTGAAGAGCAATTTCTAAATCAGAGAGTAATAATTGCAAAATTAGACCACAGCAATCAGAGTCACCAGCTGCACTGCATTTCAAATTGTCCAGTTCATAATCAAATGAGACATTAGCCCTGTGATCAAAGTCATCTTCTTAAATATAATTTCATAATATCGGATTTTACACATTTTCAACACTGCAGTCACGGACATCAAAAGTTCTTTTATTTTCTTATACCATATTTCACAAGATTTTGAACACATGACTTCTCTTCCTTTTGTTTCTAGATGTTCCTCTTTAGTATTAAAGTTTACCAGGTTGCCAGGAATTAAATGAAATTAACGAGAGCTGCGGAAGACAGATAACGTCTTCTGACATTGACAGATAGTGTGGAAAGTAGCTGTACAAGAAAATCTTTTCGCACCGCTTCTTCATCAGAAGATGAACACACAACCTTCAGACCTACCTCTTTGGTGACTGGCAGAATGGACAATGCTGTTTCACAGCACATCAGGGCATTGCTCCTCTGGCCCAGATCTTTGTAACACTTAGGTAGAAAGAAGGACAAGGTAAATATATATATATATAATAGGTAATTAGTGACCAGAAATTTGTTTTGCATTCAAAAATAAAAAATGAGAAAAGAAATTAAAGTGGAGAAAGACCACAGTGCCGCATACCTTTGCCAAATAGACATAATTGCATTTAGAATATCTGGGATGTATTTCTTCAGCCTGAGTATAAGGACAAAAGATAGAAAGATGAGAATGTCATAAAGCAATACTTCCATATTGCTTTCATGTCCCAAACCTTCAAAATATTTTGTACTGCTCATATGTCTTCTCAATGCCAATCTGCATTTCTGGACCTAAACACCTCTCTCTTGAGGTGCTAATGGTTGAAAACAGGCAGCTAGTACTATACTCTCACATTGTTACTTTGCTGCCTCTGTTTTTTACAGGGAACAATATTAAAAGGTATTGATAAAAGGAGCTCACAAAGTTATCCTTTGGTCCACGTTTTGGCATTATGTGGCTTCCCAACTGCAGGGAAGGAAGAGAGCCAAGGACCTTAGAAAAGCAATTTCCATCAGCGAGAAATAACTTGGTACCAAGCTTTGGAGAAGTTGCTATGTTGAAAATCAACAAAATTTGGGTGATTCATGATGCCCCATAGAAGTCAATAGGCTCAGCTACTCAGCAGGGCAAGGGATCATAGAGGCATGGCACCAATCTAGAACTGGTGCCAAAGCCTCCGGTGCAAATACTCCAGCATATCAATGACGTGATTCTTACAAAGCAAATAAATCTTCCCCAAACTTAGCCAGTAAGGATAAGGTTGCAGACATCCATAGGATGTAATTCATTCAAGATTGAAGACAGCAACACACAAAGACGCAGTAAGCAAAACTCGACATTTCAGCAATGTAGGCAACCATATGCCCTCCACAAGTTTGAGACTTCTGCTGCCATTAGCCCCAGCTCACCTACCACTGATTTACTGAATCATTACAGCCAATTCAGTGAGCAGAAACAGACTTAATATCTGCTCGGTTTCTCCCAACTGTTGAAATACTACACAAAGGGACACCTTGTAGACTGATAGGAGGTGGAAGGAAGGATCTCAGAGACCAGCCAAATCATTTTGCAAGGTCTATTCTACTCCCATGGTCTTCATACTGTTTCTTATCAAGTCATTCAGTAGAGGCTGCTGGACTATTTGTACAATATATCACTTTCAGGAAGGGATCCAAGGGAAGTAAGAACAGGGGAATTACCTGAAATCTAGACCTGATCCATTATTTCTGCTTCTTAACTAGCACTAAGGATGAAAATAAAGGCACCCCCCCCCAAAATAAAGAAGTAACAAAGAGAAAAGGGGGGGGAAGCAGAGGAGAAGAAGAGACGGGGATGAAAGCTCTAATTTCTTTAGCGCATCTGTGCTAAGCAGCAATTATTAAATTGCTCAGACAAACTTCCTGTGTTTAACTAGTTGAAAATGACAATGGGCTATTTCCACAGGAAATTCTCATAAACAATTCTATGGATGAAATTCAAAGGGCTGAATATTGAATTGCAAAAAAAAAAAAAAAAAAAAAAGAGCAGCATAGCAGATCCTGAAATTCAGTTTAGGTAGATAGGAGCGGTCACTCTTCTAAAGATATTGCCTGAAAAATCTTTTGCAGAGCGTTGACTTTGTAGCGCCTGGGAACAATTTGTTGAACAAATTTCTTGAATGCCAGCCGGTTGGCAGCCAGAGAGAAAAGAGAATATTTTATCTACCTTTAGAAAATTCTGCAAAGCCTCCTGTATTGTTGAAGTTGGTGGAATCCCAAAAAGAGCAGCAGCTACTTTTTTCTCAATCCAAGACAACTGAGCGACCTTTGGAAACCCCAACAAGAAGAAGGGAAAGGTGGGGAAAAAAAAACCATTTAGTGTGTTTTTAGATATCAAGGCAAATGTCATGATAAAATATCTCGACAGTGATGGTCACAAGTGCAAGCACTGGTCACTTTTTTCAGTGTTGAAAGATTGTTAAATGAATGGTCGTAAGTTGAGGACTACCTGCAGCTTGTATTCTATGTATTCTTCTAAGTCCTTTGGGGGCTTATTCTTATATCCAGCTAACCAAATATGCCTTCTTAGCAGATTTCTGAAAAAATATCCTCTTGATACTGCTTTCAATTCATGCCTAGTTTATTAGAGGGAGCTTAAAATATATTCTAATATTGAAATATTGGCTTCTCTTTCCCTCCAACACACGTATTGCTGTATAATCTGTGATGGTTGGTTGATTATGTCGGTGATGATGTACTTAGAGGTTGGCATATGTACTTACTTGCTTCTTTAGGCTGTAGTGAGTATGCTCTCCTGCCCTCAAGTTGCTAAGCACAACCTTCCCTACCTATTTTGACTTAAACTGCTAAAGAGATCAAAACACCTAGCTTCCCCCAATGCATCTGGCCTGCAAATACATTATGCAATAAGCATGGTCCTTATATATACAGGTTTAGCACTCTAGACCTGTTTTTAAACATATTTGCCCATCTTTTGAAAGAGAAGCCTTTTATAAACCAATAACTGTCTTTAAAAAAATATATCAACAAGTGATCTGGTTGATTTAAATGGGCAAAGAGAGTTCTCGTGAATGAAGGCAAATTCATTCATTTGTTCAGAGGGAGTTCAGAGGGCCAGCTGTTTACTACTGTTTATGTTACAAATGAGTGCATTTCTGCTGTTTTGAATGACAAGGCATTTTACATGATTGCACTTTTTAATGGTTGTGTGTGTATGTGCAGTTATGTGTGCAATTTTGTGTACTTCATAGGCTACGCTTGCTGACATTGTCCTGCAGCACTTACTGATTTGGAATACAGGAGAGCTGCAGTGAAATTGACAAGAATTCCGTCTGTTTTCATCCTTCAGCTTCAAAGAGGAGCCACTGGCATAGGCTGAACCAGACCCGACCACTTCCTGCCAACACTGATATTTCCTTACAGCACTTCCTTTCCCTTTACTCCGTTCCCTCATAAAGTGCATACAAAGGGCTGGAATGAGAAGGACCACTCTTGATTCTCTTTGCAATTTCCTTGTAATGCCATTTCTTTGGCCTGTCAATTAGGGTATTTCTGAATGCATGTCCACCAGTCTTCTGGAAGAACACTCCCTAAAATAGTTTGGGCAACAGACTACACATAGAACTGAAGGCCATAGAAAGAAACAGATATGACCTCTTCACACTTCACCCATCATGCTTGTGATCCAACAACTTCTCTTTTCTTCCTTTTGGACATGGCTAGAGGGCTCTTCCAGAAGACTGGTAGACATAAGCAGCCTGGATATTTCTGTACTACGGGGAACCTCAATGAAAGCAATCTGTAATTCCAACAACTTGAAATCTCCATTCCAGGCACCAGTCATAGTATTCCAGGCAGGCTCCACCACACATTAAAAAGACACTGGGTTGAAATCAGCCAATTGCTATATGTGAACTGCTCTACATTAAAACTGTTAAGACAGCATCAGACTCTAACCTTGTCACTGAAGAAGAATGGGGCTTCAGATATCAGGGCCATGCAATTTATGTTGGTGTACTTTCTGCCAACTCAAGGACAGGAAAATTGCATGTCAATATAGCTGAGAGGGAGGACTCTTGGAAAATCAGAGACCTTTGAACAACATCATTAAGGCCATTCCATCCAGCTGAAGCATATATGGATTGTTGGAAAACTAAAATAAAGGGAAATACTGTTTCTATAATATAGGAGAAACCATTCAATTTTTTATGCACATACCAGCCTGCATGCATGCACACACATTTGGAATATCACACATTGATGGCTCACAGACAAGTTTCATCTGTGATATTGCAGCACATAGGCTTCTAGATTTTCCATGTGGAATCTGCAATCAGCTTCTAAAACTTGTGGCTGAGTTTCAAAATAAAGGAACCGTCTGGGGCAATATACATTTTCTTGCAAAAATTAATAAGAACTGATATAGAGGATTTCAGTTTCACATTTTGGTTTGGATGCAAATCTAATCTACATTGCTTAATAATCCTTCTTTCCCCAAAGGTCCTGTTTTACTTGACTCTAGCATATTCTAAAAATAAAATTAAAGCATTTAAAATGGAAACGTTATTATAATTACAATTTTAAAAGGCCAAATTATAAGAGTTGGAAGGGACCATCTAGACCAGGGGTTCTCAACCTTGGCAACTTTAAGACTTGTGGACTTCAACTCCCAGAATTCCTCAGCCAGCTGAGACCATTAAGTTCAATCTCCGGCGAAGGAATCCAAATTGAAGTATTCCAGACAGAGGGCTCTCCGGCCTTGACATCAAATTCATCCAACCAAGTGGAGTCCATCACTCCTCTAGGACGGTACTTGGCTTTGCTGCTAAACTGCTGTTATTGTTAGGAAATTGTTTTCTAACGCTCAGCTGAAATATGGCTTCTTGTAACTGAAACCCCTTATTCCATGACTTGCACTACAAAACATGAGATGACAGCCTCTTATACAAAGTACTATCAAGTTCCCCCTCTCAACCTTTTTAAGGCTAAACATGTCATCTTAGAAGTCATAGAATCATATAGCTCAGTGGTTCTCAACCTGTGGGTCGGGACCCCATTTGGGGTCGAACGACCATTTCACGGGGGTCACCAAACAACGCAGTCCGCCATTTTTCCCCCTTTTCCTTAGCTGTGCTACTCCCTTTTATTCTATTGGCTTTTGAAAGCCAATAGAATAGACTCTCTTGAATAGAGTCTAATTCTATTGGTTTTCAAAAGCCAATAGGAATTGTCCAAGCTGTCTCTGCCCTGCTAAGCCTGCCAAAAGTCCCATTCTGCAAACGGTGCTGCACCAGTTGAGTAGTCCTTGACTTATGACTGGTTGAGTAGTCCTCGACTTATGACCGGTTGGGGGTTGCGGCATTAAAAAGGTTGAGAACCACTGATATAGCTCAAAGGGACCTTGGAGGTCTTCTAGTACAAGCTCCTGCTTATGTCATTCTGGACTGGACAAACGGTTGTCCAATTTTTTCTTGAAACTTTTCAGCAATGGAGCATCCACAACTCCAGGAGGCATATGTTTCATTGTTTAATTGCTCCTTAGTTTCAGTCCGAATCTGTTTCTGACAAGTTTCCACCCATTGCTTTTTATTCTGTTCTCGGGTGTTTAAGTTGACCCCTTCCTTTCTGCAACAGCCTCTTAAATTCCGGAAAACAGTTATCATGTCATCCTAATCCTTCTCTTCGATAGGCTAGACCAGTGGTGGCGAACCTATGGCACGCGTGCCAGAGGTGGCACTCAGAGCCCTCTCTGTGGGCACGTGCGCCATGCCCTGAAGATGGCAACTGTCCCACTAACTCGCCAAGGTCCCACATGGTCAAATGCATCCCAGCACCCATGCACTCATTGGCCTCTGTGTGCAGCGGCTGATGGTGTCAGGCAGCAGCTGCCCCGGCCCCTGCCTCACCTTGCCCTGTGACAATGGCACCCCCGCCCTGCCTCACCTTGCCTTACCCAGCAGGATGAGCCTCCTGCCCACCGCCCCACCTACCAGAGACCCCCTGGATCTCCCTCAACCCTGCCCCCACAGGGGTCTCTCTCCACGAGCAACATTGAAGTGGCCACACCCACCCAATCTGCCATGACCACCACAGCCATGCCCACCCAGTGGGCCACACCCATCTGGCACCCAGCGATAAATAAGTGGGTTTTGGGTTGCAGTTTGGGCACTTGGTCTCTAAAAGATTTGCCATCACTGGGCTAGACATACCTAGTTCCCTTAACTATTTATCATATAGTTTAGTTTCCAGACCTTTATCGTCTTTGTTGCTCTTCTCTGCACTATTTTTAGAGTCTTAGCATCTTTTTTGTTCACGGTGAACAGAATTGAACACAATATTCTAAATGTGGCCTCACTAGTGTAGTATAAAGTGATACTCTCACTTCTCATGATCTTGATACTATCCCTGTGGATGCAATCTAGGACTGCATTGGCTTTTTTGGCAGCCACAGCACACTGCTAGCTCACAGTGATGGTTCACCAGGACACCTTTCACAGTTACTACTGTTGAGCCAGGTATCACCTATTCTATACCTGTGCACTTGTTTTTCATGTCTAAATGCAGGGCCTTATTTCTTTCACCACTGAACTGCACTTTATTGGATTTGTTGCATTTTATTGGCTCTTCCTCAATATCTCTCACAGAATCTAGTTTCTAATTAGCTATTATTCTTCCCAAACCTATTCTAGTTTCTCTGAATCTTCTTGTGTTGCCTGGAGCTGGACACAGAATCCAAAGTGGGTCCTGACCAATGCAAAATAAAATGGAGCTATTTCTTTAAGTGTACAGTCCTCTCCCAGTTGAAAAGATTGATGTCCTCTGCTATAACAGAATCAAGAATATGCATGGAACAAAGTTTTGAACACACATTCAATTATTCCATTCTCCTAAAAGGCGAACAATTTATTTGCAAAAGGAAATTTCCCAAATGGATTTTGAGGTTTGTTTCAAAAAGATGAAGCAGCTTTTAAACTCACATATATTCTAAAAGAGCCCTTTTGATATATTTTTAAATTTCCAACCCCTCCCTGGCTTTTCCTAGTATCAGACTTTGTTTAGCTTAACAATTCCATAAAGTGGATTTCACTGAAGGAGAGTAAATTTATCCAAGACTAAAGAATGACAACTGATGGGCATGCCTTTTCTTATATTCAGACAAAAGAATCAGACGCCTCACCAGTTCCAAAATGAAAAACCCAGGGCAAGCCTTCATTTGTTTATCCAAAACATCCTGGGTTTAACAGCCTTACTCCCATGAACATCTATACAAGATTGAATTCCACACTTGATCTATTGTGTGAGTTACCCTAACTGTAACCCTATGCAATTAACCTAGCATATGGAAGTCTGCATCCTTGAATTTTAACAGCTTTCTGATAGGCTTGCTTGCCCCTTGCTTCAGAAATTATCATCCTTCCTGAAATACATTTGTCTAAATTATTTGACAAGAACAACACCAACCTCCTCAATATTCTAGTTATTTTCTAATTTGATTCCAAATTTTTCACCTGACTTGAAGGAATTTGATATTAATCTCAGATAATTGCCATACCTTTAGATAAATGTGAGTAATTGAAAATAATATATAAACTACAAAGAATATTTTCTGTTTATGAAAAAGAGTAGGTTGTGATTATTAGTAGTTTTATTATATGAATGGCGATGTATAAATTATCAACTTGGATTCTATTCTAGGAGACTAACAACTGTTAAGCAGATATAAGATAAATATAATTAAACAGAAGAAAAAATAAAGTAAAAGCAGGCATATGTAGTAACTAAAGTAAAACATTGTCCCTCCACCTTAGGGTTAGGGCAGTGTTTCTCAACCTTGACAATTTGAAGGCATGTGGACTTCAACTCCCAGAATTCCACAGCCGCAATTCTGGCTGTGGAATTCTGGGAGTTGAAGTCCACATGCCTTCAAATTGTCAAGTTGAGAAACACTGGGTTAGGGTTTCTCTGTCAGATCTTAAATTAGAAAGAGGCTTTTGTGAAGAACCCTGGTTATAAACCCTTTAGGACTTTAAAGTGCATCTCTCATTTCAGTGTGAGGTATAATTATAATCCAGTCCCAAATTTTATAAAATAATTCAGGTTCCCTCCCCTTTTTTGTTCTTTTTTTTTTTTTTTTTTAAATCTTCATGAACTTCTGATGGGTAAATGCTTAAAAGGATCACAAGATACTTACTTCATAACACCACCTTCCAGTAAGATAATACAAAAAGGGATCTTGTGGCTTAAGTGCAATTGCTTTGTCAAGATGTTCCTGTAAGAAAGATCATAAGAAAGAACTGCCCTTCCTGTTTTCAGCTGTTTTGCCACAATAAATTCAGGCATCTTGTTTGATTTGGTATTTCATAAATGTTAGAGTTCATCAAGGTTTTACATGCATTAAAAGTGTCTAATGACAACTAAAGAATAGGTACAGACAGAGATGACAAAAGTGATATGCATTTCAGGAATCCTCTCTCAATCAACTGAACTCAGGAGTAAGATAGTGCTGATTTTAAGAGAACAGAACAGAAATCTGTTTTGAGCAGAGACGGAAGTTGGAATCCATGGAATCAAGAACAAATGAATATTTCTAAGGCATATCAAAGCACACACTCTGGACCTCCAGGTCAGCAGGGGTCTCATGCTGCTCCTTCCACATTTAGGGTAGAAGCAGGACAAAAATATTGTGCTTAATCCAAATGGTGCACTTTTAAATTCTTTTCAGTTTGAAAGTTATATGGAAGATTATACTCACACACAAACATTCATCAACGTAACAGTAAACTATGCCTCCCAGACAGAGTTAGTTTTACTTTACTTCAGTGCTGTCAGGGTGAATTAAGTCAATAACAGTAGCAAGCAGTTTAAGAAAACTACCCAAAACATACCTTAAAAAGATAGCCGTTCCTGATTTTGTTTTGTATAGTTTCAAACTGAGACATGTAGCCACACATCATTGCAAGCCTGAAAAGGAAGTGACAAAAAAGGGGAGAAAAAAAGGAGGAAAATCATTAGACTTTTATGATCATTACAATACAGATATCCCTTGCTTAGACACTGCCTTAGTTAACGACCATTTGCAATTATGATGGGGATGAAAAAATACTTTAATTATTAAATCTTGCAGTTAAGACATTCACTTTACAAGTCTGTAAAGCAAAGAAAAGCTGAAATAATTTTTTAAGCACAGTTGTGGTTTCACTTAGTAAGCCAGTCTCAATTGTGGTCGCTAAACAAGGACTACCTATAATGCCAGCCTGATACATTACTTTCAGTATGTAAGTAGTGTATTTATAAGGAAGGGAACCATCTTAGAAGAGGCATTCCTTCTCTTATAATATATTACCCAATCTCTTCTAAGATGGCTCCTTCTGATTTGTATAAACATCAACAAAAAGACTATGTAAGTGCTTTATTTATTTGTTGTTCTGGAAAAATAATTACTATAAACAATCCTAAACCATTTTGCGTTAAAGAAAGTTACATTAAATCTACTGGAATTAAGCCTTAGGTGTCGTGGTGCTTAGGTTCATTGCTTTAACTTTTTAAAACTGCAAAGGGTGAAGCAATGAGATTTATTTAACTAGACAACAGGTCCATTTTTAATGTGCATTTTTAGTTGTCAACTGAGCTTCAATATGCCTCTGCTAGCTCAAAATCTGTTTTGTGTTAACAAATTCCCAAGTGTAGTTTTCACTGATTCAAATCTTTATGTTTTCAGTCCTGACTCAGATCATCCATAAAGATTAGGGTGGTTTTAAATGAGTTTCAACTTCAGCTATTAAGTATTCACACTCTTGTGCCTTGCTGTCCAAGCAACAATTACACACTGCAATTGACTTGCAGCAATGGAATGGAAATATATTTTTTCTAAACTTGTGGATACAGTAACTATCTGTCTTCTCTAAACCAATACCCATCAACTGTATTGCTGAAACTGTATTGCTATCCAGGTGAAGAATGCCAGGTTTGGAAGGGAATAGGGAGCAATTCATTATTTTATAGCCTGTCGCCTTATCCCAATCTGTTTTCTTTACAAGACAAATTCAGGATATTCAGGATATTCTTCTATCCAAACAGATGGGATCATCTCACTGTAGCACAGCTCAAAAAGAAACCAGACTTGATATTCCTAGCAAAGACAGTTAAAGAATTTCAAGTATTTAGGAGAAACAAGGTTACTAAAACTTGATTTCTCATTATGTTGCAGAAGGGCAACACCACTTTCTCTCCAGTTCCACTTGGCTCATTAGGTGCTAATCAGATAAACTCAGCATACCATAGCTAAACGGATTACAGCTAGAAAAGAAAACAATGAAATACAAATAAGCTAATCCTGAAGTTTCATAGAATCTCCAAGTCTGTGCGTGACAAGAGAAGAAAAGCGCTGGGTTAAACCAGTTAAGGGCTATATTTCTGTATGTGAGGGCTTTTCTGGATGAATGAAAAAGCTGCTTATTTTCTCTTAGTGGAAAAGTCACACGAACAATAATCTGCAGTCTATATTCACTGACATCTACAAGAGAAAAGCTGTAGTGTCGGATAGGATTGCAATTTATGTTCATGAGATGCACTGTTAACACCATAGCTGTTTTGGGATAGGCAGTATAATTATTTTGAAAACCATGATTAGAATCAGTATAAATGTGATTCAGTAGAAATATGATTCTGGGTTAGTGATTTGATTAAATGACTGCAATGCTATGTCAGCTTTCTTTGGAATCTTTTGATACTATTGTAGGTTATACTAAGCTATCACAGATTTGTGATTTCATATAAGGAGAGAAAGAAATGGTGGTCTTAGAAAGTAATTTAAAGATACAGGCTGGTGACGCATGTCCTAAGGAAATCTGAAATAGAATTTCAACTCCACAAACCAAAACTGATTTAAGTTTAACAGAGATTTTTAAACTTTTTTTAAAAAATACAATCTCTACACTAAAAAGCTGAATTTCTAAATTTTTACAAAACAGCAATCACTTTCTAGTAGATTAAAAACAATCTGGAATCTCTCTTTCTCAAGCTATGTACATGAAACTAGCAAGTATTAATCCACTGGTTAAATATATGGGAAATCGAGAACAGACTGTATAAAATAAAACAGAAAAAGACACCACATTTTGCCTCATATTCAGCTTCCAAAAGATGAGAGACAATCTCTTTTTTTCAACAAAAGCAAGAAAAGTGAACACTCATAAGGGCAACATAGTTGCAATTTTTATTTCTTTGTGAATGCCATCCATTGCCATATCTGTATCTCAGCAATGATAGAGATTTGACAATAGCAATCATGTACATTCTTGTCCCTATTCATATATCAAAAATACACAGTACAAAAAATTGATGTTGCAGGACAATTTTCATTTTGAAGAATAAATACTTTAAAAGAATATAGAAAGGTCTTTGGGCTGAATCAAGCTTTAGACAAGATCCCTATTATGATTTAGAATATTTTCAAGTCAACCAACCAATATTCAATTGACATAACAGTAATCCAGACTGACGTTAGACCACTCCACAATGGCTGGAAGATACTAGACACTAGAAGATACTAGATACTAGATAATTCTTCTTCACTGCTATATTGGGGGTCCACTCCAGTCTTTTCAAAATGGCATACTTTACTATTCATTAATTCTTTCCTCACATTTATATAGCTTAACCATATTCCACGTTGGATACAAAAACTGTCTTTGTAGTTTTAATATGAGATAAATTAAGAGAAGTGATTGTTGAAATTTTACTGGCTTCCTTTGGCCTCGCCACTGAGCATTTCACCTCAGATTATTCCCCTAGCCCATGACAACTTTAGTGTATAACAGCAGGTTAGGTTCTGCAATACTTTGCCAAAACTGAATCTGCTTCTCCAGTCAGCCATCCTACCAAGGATTTGCTGAGGATCATTGCTTCTTAAGAGGTTTTGGACCAAGTGATCTTTTAGGAAGTAAGTTTAAAAGGTATTATTCTGTCAAGCTTTTGGTCCTTGGTTTTGTATGGGCAACCATCGTAGCTGACTTTCATTACTGTATTTTTTTAATTACTGTATTCCCAGTACCTGCATGAATTGGGACAGCATATAAATAATACTACATAAATGAAACCATTTAACAAAGCATTTTTATACTGTGATAAACAAGAATGAAACTATAAACCACAAATGGGAATCGTGTCTTAGTTATGCTTAGAGTAGATCCACTGATTATAGGATTTAGGAGTCCTAGTGGACAACCACTTAAAAATGAGCCAGCAGTTCTGTACTGCAATCAGAAAAAAATCCAACACAATCCTAGGCTGCATTAACAAGGAGACAGAATCAAGATCACATGAAATGTTAATATCACTTTATAAAGCCTTGGTAAGACCACACTTGGAATATTGCATCCAGTTTTGGTCACCATGATATAAAAAAGATGTTGGGACTCTAGAAAGAATACAGAGTACAGAAAAGAACAACAAAGCAACAAAGGGGGACTGGAGGCTAAAGCACATCAAGAATGGTTGTAGGAATTGGGTATGTCTAATCTAGTGAAAAGAAGGACTAGGGTTGACATGATAGCAGTGTTCCAATATTTGAGGGCTGCTACAAGAAAGTGGGGGTCAACCTAGTCTCCAAAGCACCTGAAGGCAGGAGAAGAAACAATGAATGGAAACTAATCAAGGAGAGAACTAAGAACTAGACCTAAGGAGAAATTTCCTGACAGTAAAATCAATCAACCAGTGGAAAAGTTTGCCTTCAGAAGTTGTGGGTGCTCCATCACTGGAGATTTTTAAGAACAGATTAGACAGTCAAATGGTATAGGATCTCTTGCTTGAGCAGAGAGGATTGGACTAGAAGATGTCCAAGGTCCTTTCCAAGTCTTTTATTCTGAAAATTGGAGAGCTTTCATTTCATAAAAATCTAAGTCTTATACTGAATTTAAGCCTGGATTTCCTCTTTGATATTTTGCATGTTTCATGTTTGTTTATTTATTAAACATGTTTAGCTACAAGACATTATGTCTATAACAGTAGAACAACTTTAAACTCAATTAAAAGAGGCGATCTGAACTCAGCACTGACCCCAGCACTTATTATCACTTAATTTCTGGATGATCCAGATTCTTTTTTTTTTTTTTTGCATAGCTAGTACAAGTCAGGGTAATAGTTTCCTTTATTAAAATCAGAAAGAGAAGAACATATTTCTTTTTCATCACAACTGAACTGAGAAATAATTCACACCTTTCCATGTTTCTCAGAAACTGATAGATATAATGGGCAATATAAAAGATGATAGAGTAAGCCTGCAATCTGTGAAGGATGGAGTCTTTGTACAAGAGTTTGCTGATATCTTCTGCTACTACTGAGAGCATAATGTGAAACCAAAAACATTAAATACATACAGTAGCTCATTTATGATCCAGTTTCAACCTGTTATACCCAGATAAGGATCTAGATGTTGCCATAAGCTTCTTATTGCTTCAACCACAATACACAAATAATTCAATTCTCATAGCTCCTCAAATTCCTAGTAAAAATAAATACTTATCCAAAGGTTTACATAAAGCAGATTTCCAACTGCTTTGTCTACATAGAAATCTAGACACTTAGAGAGAGATGCTTATAAAATCTGAGCAAGACCTTGGACAGCCATTTGTCTGGAATGGTACAAAGTCTCCTGCATGAGCACGGAGTTGGACTATAAGACCTCTAAGGTCCCTCCAAACTCTCGTATTATTGTTCCTGTTACAATATCAGCTTTCACTGAGAGCAAATCCAATGCAGCTCATAGAAGAAGGATAAGATTTCCTATAGGAAGCTCCATTAATCCTTGGATGAACTATGGTTTCTTAAATTTTACAGAGTGGAAGTTCTTTATGTTTTTAATATCTGGAAGTGCCAAAGAAAAGTACATTTCAATTGCACTTAGAGAAAGGAAAGGATTTGCCACGGGAAGAAGATAAGAAAGATAGAATAGGAGACAAGAAAATCTGTTAAGGGATACAGGAAGAGAAACAGATGTCAAAAGCTGCAACAATACTGGAACAGGAAATGATAAAAGTGCCTACCACCATTTTTTCATTTACATAGCTAGATGAATCTTACTTTACCTCATTACCATACATTGGCTAAAAAAAAAGAGAGAGAAAAATACATTTATAAGAGGCAGAAAAAAGAGCAAAATTATTTCAGTTCTTCAGAATGGAAGAAGCTACTTGGCTGAGAAATGAAACATTTTCAAGGTAAAAAATTGAGAAAGTTCAGATGCCTTTGAAAAAAGCATCTTTGGGACAACCATGACCTGGGTGACTGATAACCTCCACAAACATCCCAAAATGGAATTTTTTGAAGAGGTGAGCCAAGCCTCCCTTCATTTAATGCCCTTTGCGTGTGCTGAGACTAAATTCATTTTCCCAGATAGCATTTGGAGGATTCCAGGCAAGAAAAGCTGAGCTGGTTTGTAGTAAATGTAATACTGAGGGAGAGACAGTAATTTTTTTATATTATTGTAAATGTAAAACAAGACAGAGAGAAAATTCAGCACGTATAATAAAAGGCGGTTCAGAATATGAATGATTTGAGCTAAAGCCTTAAAATAGCAAAGCTGTTTCTCTCATTGAAATCTCAGAATAGAAGCCGCCTTTAAGAAAATCTATAGCGTCAGTGAATTGTAAAATAATTCAGTAACTTAGAAAGATTCTCAATGAAGAATGAGAATTTATCATAGTTAGGAAATGAGAAAAACAAAGAATCCAATGGCTCCATCTAATGGCCAAGGCTAAAAAAAGCAATAATTATAAAGACATTCAGATGATAGCATCTGAGATATCTTACATTGTGGATGTTCAACAGGATCAAACCTGGGTTAGAATTTGAATAGAACCCACTTGGGAAAAGCAGGGCTAATGGCTAAATTGAAAATATCCTAGAAGTCTCACCTATGGCAATTTTAAGATGCGTGAACTTCAATTCCTGTCTTAAAAAGTTGCCACAGTTGAGAAACACTGTCCTGCAAGGTGGCATTGGTGAACTACTTGCATACTAGTGGCAAGAAAACAATAAATATTTTTCATAGCGTCACCACGAATCAAACTCAACTCAAAGGAAGTATTTTCCCTTGTTTGGGAAATATTCCTATCAATAATCCAAGATAGATAGATCGACAGACAGACAGACAGACACATAGCTTTTATTGTCATTTTTTACTGTGGGCACAATGGCACACATTAAAAATGAAATTTAGTTGCTTGCTCTCAGAATGTACACATACATAACACACATACTATATACAACATATGTATAGACCTACATCCTTACATAAAAGTAATATATAAATATTAATCACATAGTATGAATAGAATTAGATTAGATTAGATTAGAATAGAATAGAATAGAATAGAATAGAATAGAATAGAATAGAATAGAATAGAATAGAATAGAATAGAATAGAATAGAATAGAATAGTAGCTGGGAACCTGGTACTAAAGAAAAAGCTGAGCCAGATTGACTATCTCAGGCTACATCTCAGGCCACTTTCCCAGCCCAATTATAGGAAGATGTCAAGAACTGAACCTGTGAATACAGGTAGTCCTTGACTTATAACCATTCAATGACTGTTCAAAGTTACGGTTCTGAAAGAAGTTACTTATGAGCCTTTTTCATACTTATTTATTGTTGCTTAGCAACAGAAATTTGGGGCTCAATTGTGGCTGTCAGTTGAGGATTCCCGGTATGCATTTATTAAAACAGTTCATCTGTTTTAGGCTTTTCACGACTAAAAGTTGTAGAAATGAGATCAAAGATATGGTAAAAAATCCACTATTCAAACTTACCACTGATGACTCTCAGCACTTGATGGATCCAACTTAACTGCATTCTCTCCAACAAGTTTTCCTGAAAAAGGTGCATTTTACAGATTTTAACAATATGCATAAAGTGAGATTAGATCATACTCCATTCACTCAATAATAAATACAATTATATATTGACTATGATATTAAATTGGGAATCTTGTGTGGCTCCCTTGATTGAAGATTGGTACACTCCTATCTGGGATGGTTGTCCTCTTCCACTGAGCGCGCAGCTTCAGGAGGGACGCACATGGAGCGGTGAGGGAGGGAAGGGACACCCGCCTAGCCAGCCAGATCAACCGAATTAACCCTGGTGATCAATGGGGTGACAGATGTCGCAGCCATATTGCTCTCACATCCGTTGTGTGGCTCCAGATTAATTTAATTCAGCAGGACACATATCCAGGATAAAACCAATGAGGTGTAGTGATTAAGATACTGGACTAGGCAGGGGACATCCAGGTCCAAGTCCCCCCTCAGCTGTGGAAGGTTATCTAGAGCCACTGTCTCTCAGCCTAACCTTGTTTGCAAGGCTGCTTTTAGGAGAAAGTAGGAAAAGGCATGTTACCTTCAATTCTTAGAGGAAAGATGTATTATACGTCTAATAGATAAATAAACATATTCAGCTTTGCAATTCTTATTTTGAAAAATACAATGCATGTTTTGGTAGAAAATTAAAAAGAACCTGAAACAAAATAAAATATGAAGACCTTCCCCTACCATTCCCTGTGTATTCAAAACTGAACTGGGGCAGGGAAGCTCTTTCTCTGAAATTTGACTACTATACATGCTCAGCTAAATATTCTCATCATCTTTCTTGGTGGGAAGCTGTCCTGGTACAAGCAAAGAAAAGTAAAGAGGGAATCAGATTAATACCCAGCAGGATTGTTACCTAAATTATTTTTTTCCTCAGCTGACTAAATGAACTACATCTTATTTTCAGCAGAAGCAATAATAAAACAGCACTCCTGATATGTTTCTAGTTTGAACAAATTTGCCTTAAAATCTATTTGAACAGCCAACCTTCAGCCGCATAATTCTTTTTCTCCTCAGCATCTGTGGTTAACTCAAACATGTCCCCGTAAGCTCGAGCAAGTCTCCAAAGAAAGCCAGGATGGTTTCGGTACTGCTTGCAAACACAGAGATGAATTAGATTGGCTTTATTGCAGAGGCCTTTTGACATATTTTAAAATGCCTGTTCCCCCAATTCCCCACGTGCCACTCTGTAAGTGATTGCATTGTCTTGTATTTTAAATTCATTGGCCTCATGTGTTATGTTGTACTTTATCTATGGACTACACTTTTGAAGCTGCCCGACTCCAACCAATTCGGAGTTGCTCACAGAACAAACTTAAAAACAATGAAATACAATAAAGTAGGCCAAAACAAAAAACAAGATAATTACAAGATAGCAATCTAGACAATCCGTAAAAAAACAGGGGAACTCCATCCACCCTAGGCCAAGATCTGGGAGAACAGCCAGGTTTTCAAGGCCTTTTGAATATCACTTAGAGTAGGAGCTGTTAAGATCTTATGGGGGCCCTAATTCCAGAGAGAAGGTACCACTACAGACATTGTACCCTTCCTGGGTCCCCAAAGATGATGCTGTTTAATTGTGGAGACTCAGAATGCACTTATTCCGCCAATCAGTAACCCCAAATAAATGGCCCTCTGTCACAAAAAAAAATTCCCAGAGTTTTTTGTTGCAGCAAATAATAGAATCTGGAATTTAAAGTCTCTGCAGGATCTAAAATTTAAAGTATCTACAGCAAAGTAAGATTTTTTGCTGTATGGGCTGATAGATTTCTGCAGATAGAGACATGGACACAATAAAGTGTTTTTTTCCTTTCTGCAAACTGAACTAATATAGCTTATTTTGACCCTTCAAATGAGTTTATCTAACCACTGAAATTCATTCATTCATTCAGATCATATGTGTGCCACATATGGAATGTTGAAAACATGCAATGGGGTTTTGTGCAAATTGGCTGCCAGGATGGCTACATCTAGCAATAGCCATTGGCAACATGTACATTGGCATCTCCCCTACGCATTAAAGACTCTTTTATCACCTGTGCTAACTTTTGTCTTTCTTTCCTATGCAAGACGGCTGCTTCTGAAGAAAGCATCACTTTTATTTCTTTAGAAAGACCACAGACATTATACATGATGTAGTGCCGGCTCCCTTCCACCATCTTCATTTTAGCATAAACAAGATGGATCTCAACAGACTTGAATACGGCTCTATCTAACAAAATGAAATTCAACGCAGAGAAAAGTAAAGCCTTATACTTGGGCAAGAAAAATCAAAAGTACATGTACAGATTAGGTGAAACCTGGCTTAATAACAGTAACTATGAGATGGATCTCGGAGTCCTAGTGGATAATCAATTAAACATGAGCCAGCAGTGTGTGTCTGGAGCCAAAAAAGCCAATGCAATCCTAAATTGCATTAACAGAAGGATTGAATCAAGATCACATGAGGTATTAATACCACTCTATAAAGTCTTAGTAAAACCACACCTAGAATACTGCATCCAGTTTTGGTCACACTATAAAAAAGATGTTGAAACTCTAAAAAAAGTGCAGAGAAGAGCAACACAGATGGTGAGGGGCCTGGAGGCTAAAACATATGAAGAATAGGTGCAAGAACTGGGCATGGCTAGTTTAATCAAAAAAAGGACCAGGGGAAACATGATAACAGTGTTCCAATATTTGAGGGACAGTCATAGAGAGGAGGGGATAATCTATTTTCCAAAGCACCCGAACGCCAGACAAGAAACAATGGATGGAAACTGATCAAGGAGAGGTTCAACATAGAAATAAGGAGAAATTTTCTGACAGTGAGAAAAACCAACCAATGGAACAGCTTGCCTTCAGAAGTTGTGGATTCTTCATCACTGGAAGCTTTCAAGAAGAGACTGAACAGCCACTTGTCAGAAATGATATAGGGTCTCCTGCTTGAGCAGAAGGTTGAACTAGATGACCTACAAAGTCCCTTCTAACTCTTGTTTTTCTATTCTATTCTAAGTTCCTATCAACCTTGCTTTGCATCCTTTATTCTTGTACTGAATTCCTTATTGTATTCTGGAAAGAAAATGGGAACTCCTTGGTAGCTGCTGGAACCCGTGATGAGAAATTAACCAAGGAGAGAAGCAACCTAGAACTGAGGAGAAATTTCCTAATGGCGAGAGCAATTAACCAATGGAACAGATTGCCTTCAGAAGATGTGGGTGCTCCATTACTGAAGGCTTTCAAAAAGAGACTAGTCCAGTGGTTCTCAACCTTTTTAATGCCGCGACCCCCCAACCGGTCGTAAGTCGAGGACTACTCAACTGGTGCAGCACCGTTTGCAGAATGGGACTTTTGACAGGCTCAGCAGGGCAGAGACAGCCTGGACAATTCCTGTCGAAAGCCAATAGAATAAAAGGGAGTAGCACAGCTAAGGAAAAGGGGAAAAAATAGCGGACTGCATTGTTTGGCGACCCCCGTGAAATGGTCATTCGACCCCAAATGGGGTCCCGACCCACAGGTTGAAAACCACTGGATTAGTCAACCATTTGTGTGAAATGATATAAGGTCTCCTGTTCGAGCAGAGGGTTGGACTAGAAAATCACTAAGTACCCTTCCAATTCTATTATTCTATGTTGTCTCTAATCCCACAATAAAAGCCCACAAACTTAATGTGGGAAGAAAGCCTATGCTGGTCTGTTGGCAACCAGAAAAGGGAAACCAGGAGAGGCAGAACTTGACAATGGATGAAGTGCAGTGGTTAGAATGCAGTATTGCAGGCTAATTCTGTTGTTCGGCAGTTCAAGTTTCACTGGCTCAAGGTTGACTCAGCCTTCCATCCTTCCAAGGTCAGTAAAATGAGGACCCATATTGTCGGGGGAAATGTACTGACTCTGTAAACCACTTAGAGAGGGCTATAAAGCACTGTAAAGCTGTATATAAGTCTAAGTGCTATTGCTAAATGCTATTTCCCGTCTGCACTGAATAACCACGACCACTTATAACCACTCTCAGCAAATATTTAGGAATGTTAATCAAAGGGGTCATTTTTAAGTAATGGGATTTCCCCCCCCCCTTAAAACCAATCTATTCAAATGTACCCTTAGATTTTAACTTGACTAAAAGGACGCCATGGAAGGCCCTGAACTATCGACCGTACCTGCTCTTCTCTTTCGAGCAATAGTTTGAAGCTTTCTCTTTTCTCATGTTCCGAGCCACCATGAATTCTGTCCATCTCTTGCAGAAGATTAAATAAATCTTCTTTTTCTTCTGGCATCAAAGAAGATACAGAGGAATTGATCCATCCTTTTTCCTCTTCAGATTCTCCTTCAGTATCAGAATGAGCTGTCATGTAACTAAAATAGGAGAGGGGAAAATATAACCTCTTCTTGAAAACCAGCATGGTTATATTGCCACTTTTAACTATTATTTTTTTTCTTCTAATTAACATATCTTAAGAATGCTGCAAAGTTGTTGAGCATTTTCATTAATTTCGCAACATCCACAGACAGACCAATTAAATTACTCTTAAATCAGGTCCTTTGCACTACAGATACTCCTTGACTTACAACTATTCGTTTGGTGACCATTCAAAGTTACAGTGGCACTGAAAAAAAGTTACAACTGTTTTTCACACTTATGATCCTTGCAGCATTCCCCTCCCCCCATGGTCACATGTTCAAAATTTGGATGCAAGGCAACTGGCATGTATTTATGATGGCTGCAGTCCCGGGGTCATGTGATCATCTTTTGTGACCTTTTGACAAGCAATGACAATGAGGAAGCCAGGTCCATTTAACTATTATATTACATCTTCAGTGATTTAACAGTTGTTAAATGAAAGGTCATAAAATGGGGCAAAATTCATTTAGCAACCATCTTGTTCAGCAATGGAAATGATGGGCTCAATTATAGAAGAACTACTTGTACTGTATAATTTTTTTAAAAAACCTATTCAATTAATTTATAGTGACATTTTTGATGTTGAAACATAAAGCCAATCTGAATTTAATAAAACTTAGCAACTACAAATTTTCCAATAGATATCATCCTTATCTTCAGTTTCAGTTGAAATGTTTATCCTTTTAAAAGGAAGAAAATAATTTCTTTAAAATTACCAACTGAAAAATTCTTCAGACAATTGAATTGTAGAAAAGACACGCAATGGAATTACAGGTTTTTAAAGGCAATCATTTGGAACTAACAACATTTCTACACCAAATCAAAAATATTCTGACATTTAGAGGCATTAAGATTTATTATAGCAGTCAGTATCATTTACTGAATCACAAGACCTTGAGACAAGATAAATTATCTCTTAGGTTCCAATGAAAACATTTCAATCCTTTAAAAAAAAAAAAAATCAAGGTCTTGTTCTTAACCTTGAGAAGACTGTACTGCATATTACAAGTTGTTGTTGTAGTTCTTAAATGTTTGTCCCACAAGGTTTCATAGTCTGCTTGTTTTTGATCTGTGCTCACCTTTGCTTCTTATAGCAAAACTATCAATGAGTGATGCAACAAGGGAGTTTGTTTTTCAGCTGGCTTACTGCAGAATCCAAAATTCATTACAGCCCAGAGGGAGCGACTGCCCCAAGTCTACCCACTGGACTTCTGTATATGAGGAAGGACTAGTACTGTTTGCTTCATTGCTGGCTGTGGAATTCTGGGAGTTGAAGTCCACATGCCTTAAAATTGTCAAGGTTGAGAAACACTGAGCTAGAACATACTGGCTCTCTTGGTGTAAGATTTGTTATGCCAGTAAAAGTCAAGCCATCAAATTCATAACCACAAGTCTGCAAATACTGTATTGACCTATTAAAAGTTTTACAAAAGTTTTTTTTATCTGCTGTAGGTTGCTTTTGTCTATGAAAATTAGTACAGTCATTATCAGGGAAGGAGAAGAATTCTATTTTAGTTTCTCTCTCTGGAGCTTATAGATTATAAATAAAGGAGACAAAATTGTAGCTGCATTGGTAAAGATAGCCCTTATGGGTAAATCAAGCATCTTTACATCTTGCAGCTGGTTCAGCTTTCCCTTTTAGAGAGAGGCAGGATCCAAGCATATTGGCCTTCCACTTCAAGAAAAGGGAAGATCTCAAGAAAGTCCCCAAGACTGACATACCTAATAGTCCTTCCTCCTTTTTCCTACAACAACAACCTTGTGACATGGCTAGGCCTCAGAGACAGTGTCTGGTCCCAAGTCCCTCAGTTGCTTTTCATGTCTAAGGGAGACCTAGAACTCAAAGTCTCTTGGTTTCTAGCCTAGTACCTTAACCATTATACCAAACTGTCTCTACACTAGAATGTGCCCAACATCAAATATTTTGTGGGACGAGATACTAGAAAATCCATCAATGGGCATATTTCATCTTTTTGCTCAAAAGTAGTAGAACCTTTCAATGATTGTCTTTTAGTGGTTAATTTTAGAACTGTATGCAAAGTGCATGTCCATCATCACATAGGCCAATTACATTTATTTTGCTTTGTCTATACCAGTGTTTCTCAACCTTGACAATTTTAAGGCATGTGGACTTCAACTGTGGAATTCTGGGAGTTGAAGTCCACATGCCTTAAAATTGTCAAGGTTGAGAAACACTGGTCTATACATATCTATACAATTGTCTATACAATTCTTCCACTCTATATTCTGTTTCACATATACATATCAAAACCCTGTGAGATACAAAAAGGAGCAAGACAGGGATACCCACTCACTCCTCTCTTGTTTATTTTGCTTTTGGGAATACTAAATAGAGATACAAGATGAGAGGATTGCGGGAGTCACGATTTAAACAGTCACGATTTAAACAGAAACTTGTAAGTTAAGGGCTTTTCCAGATGACCTGGTGCCAATTCTGGAAGATCCTTTAAAAGGAATTGAAATATAAATGGGCAAATTAAAAGAATTTAGTGCATTAGCAGGTTTCAAGATTAATAAGCAGAAAATGAAGCTGTTAAGAAAAATATGAAAATAGAAGATCAAAAAGAATTTATGAATAAAGTTTTAAAATTGAGAAGAAAGTAAAATATCTCCGACAAATATTAATTGTATGTTATTTCAAAGTAAGTATTAAGACATGGAACGAAGTTAGTAAGACATGTTAAGATGGGAGAAACTACAAACTACAAATTGGGGAGAATTTCTGTGATAAAAATGAATACCTTGCCTAAAGTATGCTTTTGTTTCAAACAATATTTGACTGATAACTGATGTACCATTTAAACAGTGGCAGAAGAATATATCTATATTTGTGTGCAGGGTAAAAAAGACAATATAAGGTGTTACCAGATACGAAGAAAAGAGGAGGAATGAGTTTACCCGATTTGAAACTGTATTTTGCAACTCATTGTTTCGTTTGGATGAAACAGTGGATGTTACTGAGAAATAGAAGGCTTTTGGAGTTAAAAGAACATGACCTGAGATTTGGATGGCATGGATATTTATGGTATGATAAAGTTGAGGTTAATATGGATTTTAAAAATCATTATGTTAGATGTGCCATATTAAGAATAGGGATAGATACAAATCCAGGTTGTGCCCCAAAACACCTTTGCGGCTCTCAACACAAGAAGCATTTTACAGGTGAAAAATAATAGGCAAATACAAACGGTGAACTTATTGTGGGATACTAGAATTTTGTCAAGACAGATATAAAATAAAATCAAGAGAAGAATTGATGGCTGAGGAATATAGCTGTCAGTAATTTTCTTATTTACAATTAGAATGATTTAAAGTAGATAAAAAAAATTAATAGTCTGAACATTCTAAGATTGAGTTTGAAATTTAACTGTGTAAAACTGGTGAACATGTAATTGCTAAAATGTATATCACTGATATACATGCATGATAAAATGGGCTAAAATGTTGGTTATAATACACAGATGGAACAATGGGAAAACAAGTGACTGAAATGATTGAAATGTACACTATCTTATAATTTTAAAGAGGATTTTCATAAATATATCATTGGTATACCATACAATATGTCACAAGAGAAAATGTGTAAAGGCATATCAAATTTATGCCTTGGAAATGTGAACAAGGACATTTTATCCTTTTTAATGAACATATGAAAAAGCTAGAACAAATACATACATTTATTGAGAGAATTTTAAAAATTAATATACAACCGAAATGGAAAAAAAGTGATGGAACTTTGTTTTTGTACATAACTGCACTGATATTATTGTCTGCATGATAACAGAAAGATGTGGCACAACCCACAATGGAGGAATGGATGGTGAAGACAATGGAACTTGCTGAGATAGCCAAATTGAATTCTTTGATCAGAGAAAACCCTTTGAACACCTTTTGCATGAAACAGGAAAAAAATGAACTAATAGCTTATGGTTTTGATGATTAGACAGGGTAGATTATAGAAAGAAGAGAGTTATGTTGTAAACATCGAGTAAAAGGCAAAATTATAGTTGTACTTATAATTGCTGCAAACAAAATTGGAAGTTATTTTTTTGAAACTTTTTTCTTTCTTCTCTATTTTTTTTTACTTTCTTTTAATTTTTTCCATTCTTGCACCTTTATCTTTCTGTTGGATTTCTTTCTTTTTCTTATATTAATTTGCATTGGTTTTGATCTTCCTTTGAAAAAATAATAATAAAAATTATACATAAAAAGTACCTTGCTTTTCTGGACTTTTTTATCTTTTAAAAACTAAGCATTTCATTAACACAATCCCAAGTATTTTTAAAATACTCACCCGCCTTCACTTTCAGCTTCTTCAGATACGCCTGGAGCTGCTGCCTCGATCTTTCGCTTCTTTGCAGGCCTGTGTAAAGGGCTGGTTCTGCGGCTTTCTGTTTTTCCTTGAAGTTCATCCCAAACAAGTTCATCCAACTTTGGAATAGCTTCTTTCAAAAACGTCAATTCTCTTTTAAGTTCTTCCACACTTATCACCAAGCCATTCAATTTCTCCAGTATCTGAAGCTGTCTTCCTTGTAAAAGCAAAGCTGTTCTTTCTTCTTGGTGAGTTTCATATGGAAAATTTATTAAATCAAAACCGTTGGCTGAATTTGGAAATACAGGCAAAGGCATAGCTTTGCTGCGTCTGTGTGTCTTTAGATACCAACACAGGACATAGGTTATTCCAGCAGCTCCTGCCATTAAGCTAAATATTAGCTTTTTGCTTTCGAAGTGAGACATGCCTGCTGCTTCTGAAATAGTGTACAAAGCAGAAAAGAAACCATAGTTTAATGCTTTCTGTGAAATACTTTGCTTTTTGCAAAAGGCAGGCGAGAGGCGCAGGTCATTCTTTTTTATGTTCTCTGTTTTTTTATGATTCTTAATTAAGAGGCAGTTTGGGATGCTATCTTAAAGATATACATCGAAGATTTACGCATCAAAATTTTGAGGCATTCATGATGTATCCATAATGGGTCTGGTTTTCAAACTAACCATATTTTTAATTCAGGTAGTCCTCAACTTACAACAGTTCGTTTAGTGACCATTCAAAGTTACAACAGCACTGAAAAAAGTGATTTGTGACTATTTTTCACACTTACGACCATTGCAGCATCCCCACGGTCACGCAATCAAAATTTAAGAGCTTGGCAACTGACTCATACTTATGACGGTTGCAGTGTCTTAGGATTTTACCTTTTGTGGTACCTTCTGACAAGCAAAATCAATGGGGGAGTCAGAATCACTTAACAACCCTGTCACTAATTTGACAAGTGAAGTGATTCACTTAACAACTGTGGCAACAAATGTTGTAAAATGGGGCAAAGTTCACTTAATCAATGTTTTACTTAACAACATAAATTTTGGGCACAATTGTGGTCATAACCCAAGGATTACCCCTATCTGGCTGATTTGAAATGAGGTTCTAAAATCTAATCTATCTGAACCCTAATTTGATTCTATTCTGTATAGCACTCTTTCCTTTGAAGAGTGAGTAGGCCATAAATATTTTAAACTTCAAAAAATTCTAAGCAGTAGATTCAAATTTTCTTTTGCCCAATTCTCCCAAAGAAAAATTACATTTATTATAATGATACCATCTTTCCCATTCGTATGTTAACAGAGCAATTATTAAGTTCCATATTAAGGATCAATAGTTTTCATGTGATGTAATCTATGTTTCTGTTATGAGCTTTTGGAAAGCAACTGAATATAATGCTATTCAACAGATGAACAGACAGAAATTAAGGAAGCTCAATAATTTATCCAAGGCAATGATGAAAACTTAAAGTCACTTTCAATGTAATGTATATAAGGGGTCCCCAACTCCCAGTCCATGGACCGGTACCGGTCCACAGCATGCGAGCAACCAGTTTGCACAAACAAAGCCCCATCCATGGAATGCAGGCAGCACACAAAACCATGCACTCTCCGGTCCGTGGAAAAACCTTTCTCTACGGAACCAGTCCCTGGTGCCCAAAAGGTTGGGGATCTCTGATGTATATGATAAACTGAGTGATTGTAATCAAGAAGTTCAAGACATTTCCATTTATATTATAGCCTATGGGCCTTTCTCTATTATTGAAATAACACATTGTCCACTCAGCTTTGATGTGGCACAAAAGAATCCCAACACAAAAGTTGCTGTCCCTACTGACCACCCCTGTCAGGTTCTATGGTGTCTATCTGGAGTCATTGCCAGGTGAGTATGTCACTCATACTGGTAATAAGCAAAGTGTTGGTATTTGCCTCTGGCTTGGCTCCACTTTCCTTTTCAATATATCCCCCGCCAGCAAGCAAAAACATCCCCTAAACAGGCACAGCAGCTGGGAGGGCAAGGACCTCACCCAGGCAGTTGTAGACTAGTTTGTCTACTGTTCCTCCCACAGCTCAAAGTCTCATGTTTAAATAATGTGGAATACAGAAATGGAACACAAGGCAGAAATAGCCCAAATTAGGTGAAAGTCAAGATTCTTCCGTGACTGCACAAGTAAAAAGTGAGTAGCTATTGGACAACCAAATATATTCTTGGTAGAAGCAGAGGGTTTAGAAATAATAAATGCTGGGAAATAAATGGTTGCAATGGAACATGTGCTAGCATGTTGCCCTCAAAGTGCTCATGACAGAACTGATCACATAGACAATAGATCAATAGGTTTGGGACTTTCCCCAAAATTCAGATTTTATATACCTTAAAGCAGTGGTAAAACAGGTTTGGCTTAATACAAATCTTCACTTCAGTAGACCAATTCAAAGGAGAGGATATCTGTTATTTACAAATGTCCATTAGAGACTTGTCATTTTGTAGCATTTGCATAATGTCTTTACACAAATGTTGTTAATCAATGTGTAAAAACATTTGTTCTGTGCAAAGCTAATTGCACTGATCTTTGATAAATCAAGGTTTCACTGAAATTTAAAACCAATGCAAAGGTGACAGGACAAGGCTGTTTAAATTATTGGTCTGGAATGAGAAGAGGGCAATGTTATAGGGTCAAGGATGAAGATTGATAAATTCATACAATGGCTGCATTATATTAAGGTGGATATGAGGCAGGGCCTAAATCACAGGCATGATGCCTACATTCTTTCGAAGAAATAACCATTTTCTAAATTAGTTTAGAAGGCACCTTTTCAAATGATGTTGCAATCCTGGAAAGTATACACCCTGCCCTGCGAGTAAACAATTCATACTGTTGAAACTATCCAGCTCCAGTTCTCCAAGCACTGCTAAAGACTTGGTTGGCCTGCTTCAGAATAATCATTCATTAGATTTCTAAAATGGTACTTAGAAGCAGATATTATTACCATCTCGTACTCGGTATGGTAGCAAATAAATCAAGAAAAATCAGTTTCAAATAAGAGTATCCAGGATCATAACTATGTATTCTGTTGGATCAAATAACCTAATGACTAATAATTAATGAAAGGCTAACTTCAGAACTAAACTAAATTCAGGAAAAGTTATTTCTAAGTAGTCCTGCCTATGATTGTTTTTTTAGATATTTATTACAATAGAGCAAAAGCTTTGGAGAGGTGGTCTCCCTGTGACTTAATAATACGATTCATTTCTAGGGTGCCTAAAACTCTAATTGTGTTCTCTTCCCAGAAAGCCTGTCTCTAACTGTGCTGTCCCCAGTGCTTTCGGTGAGTTGCTAAGCTGAACATGTTGGTTGTCTTGCAACCGAAACAACCACGCATAACCCGAAAATCTACGCGTGCTCACTGTGGACATACAATCTATCACAAGAAGCGGTGCTGTTTACAGCCCAGGCAGCCTGAACCGAGCAGAGAGCGCCTAGGCGCAAACTACGCGAGCCTCTGGCGCTGTCGAGGAAGAAACACGCATCCCTGCAGCCGCTTTTGAGCGCCTCTTTCCCCTTCGAAGGACGCAGAAGACACGCTCAGTCTCAGCGTTTCCACCTACCAGGGAAGCCCGCCCGCCGGCGCTCCGATCCTGCTTGCCACTGTTTCTGCGCTCCTGCCTCCTAGTTCCTCGCTTCCGCACCTGAGCCTGAGGAGAGACAGCGCCGGAGAAACGCTCAAGGGCCGCCCACACAGTTTGAGACCCGGATACGGATGGGCGGGCGGTGGGCAGCCGCTCCCGGCAAAGCGCCGCTTTTTAGTTGTTCGCCAGATGCGCTGGACTGCAGCTCCCAGTTGACCTCCAACACGGCTCGAGGACGCTTTTCATGGAGCTGGGAGGACTTCCGGGGTCCACAGTCAGGCATGGGAGACTTGTCAGTCTCCTGGAGTGCTCGCGATGCAAACGCCGCCGAAGACCCGGCTGGCTGAGTCAAATTGGCAGGTTCTCCTCTGCTGCTCTGCTGCTCCTCGCCTCGGAGATCTCGGATACCGGATAGCAGCGGAAACTATTAGTATGGCCACTTATCCGAGGTTGCCTCCATTGAATGCAATAGGAATTTTGACGTAAATACTTGGCTGTTTTGTTTAGGGGAAAATCTGAAATGCATTTCAGGTGAATGCCTGGGAGTGAATGCGTTTTGTCTCCAATCACCAGAAAATCATTTTGTTTATACCAGCGATGCAACTGCTAGTTGAAAATTATCTTTGGAAAACGACCTTGTACTGTTTACTTGAAGATAGCACAACAAATGAGCCAGAATACTTTTTTAATATGTAAATTTGGAAGGAAGGAAGGAAGGAATCCAAACCTTTAACCTTGTGTTAGATTATGTTATGCAATGGCACAGTTGCCAAAGACAGTAAAAGTACTGTACTTTTTTCAATCAATTTGCAGTAAATCCTTTAAATTACATTTTAAATAGTAATTTACACTCTAAAACTATTTTGATATTTTACTTGTTATCTTAACATATTGTGTAGAGTGATGGACAAACATTATAGAAATTTGTTTGATTGCAGAAACCAGTACCCAGATTCCTAGTTGTGAATAACACTCTAGATTGTTGTGTCTCAATTTGTCAGTTATGAGAGAAAAAATGGTAGCAAAAGAAACCATATAAAATGCCTTGAATTTTTGGAGGACATAAAATATAATCAATAAATATGCCTGTTACTAGTCATTTGAGTTCAGTCACCTGTGCAAGGTAGGAATCCAAATGATGGCTTTCCAGCTTCTGCTGAACTCATCCAATATAGGGGAACACAGCCTCTGTGGATAATTAATTCAACTTGCTTTGTGGAGAAATTTATTTTGGCCACTAATGGTGGAGCCTACAGGAAGGGTTCACTCTGACCTTTCTAGACTTTTGCATCTGGTGCAGGGAATTTCTCCTTCCCCCGCCTTAATTCTGCTTTCTGGTATTTCTTCTCAGTTTCATCTCTGGCCAAGAAACAGCTTTTTCTTTTCACTTGCATCCAATAAAAAGATACAAAAATAAAAAAAGAAAGAAGCAAAATGTGAAAGAAGAGGTACATGGCAGAAGTGGCATTCTTTCCCTCCCAGCGATTTCGATTCTAGAGTCATGCAAAGTAACAAAGGGTTCCGCAAAAAGTCCTTGGGTGTGGGATAAGAAGAGGCCAGTGGCCAAGGGAGCCATGATCAAAAGATGCCACATGGGGAATACAATCACTTTTCTTTATTACCTACCAGAGATAAAGGCACTTGGCATGCTGTGACTTATTCCAAAAGACTCTCTGTCCCATCTCCCTGTCCCAGGAAGGAAGCCAAAGAGCAGCCAAAACCTCCCTTGCCTTCGCACTGACATATAAAGCAACCTCATCTCCCTCCTTTGCACCAGCATAGCAATAAAAGGTTTGAGAAGCCTTTAGGATGGACATGTTATTAGAAGAGGACCAGATCTAGTTAGAATGAGAAAATGCCTAGCTGAATTGTGTGGACATACCAAAATGTCAAACAACCCCCAGGTTCCAGGCAACAAGGCCTTACTTCAAAGATGGGGGTACATTGGAACTGGAGAGAGAGTTGCATCTTATTGTGCCTTAAACAAGATTCTAGAGAAGATTGAGGGTACCAGGCCACAAAGCCTTTTGGAATTTCCCATTTCTCACCTGCTCTACCTTCTTTGGAATATCCCAGCTGATGTTCTTGGCAGAGAGAAGGAACACGTGTAATAGATATGGCGATACAACGCAATAGGGAGGAAATCTTATCAGAGGAGTTATCTCACCCATGTTCTTAAAGTCCATGGTGCTACTCATGCCTCACTGAAGTAAGCAAAAATAGGAGTTATAGGAATCACAGGATATCTCATTGGGACCATGAGAGTTGTTCTGAATCTTGACTCCCTGAAGAAATCCATCAGGCTTCAAACTTTTAGAATGGAAACTCCAAAATCACAACATAGATCACCATACCAAACAATTTTACAGCCTCAGCAGATCCATCAATGGTACACTTGGATATCCCCATCATATCCTCATCAGACAATCATGCCATCTCTTCCCCAGTTTTGTATATGAAGATATATTTCCAGTTCAGAGGTCTCCTTTAGCACTCAAATTATCAAAGACACCTGAGAATTCAAAGATTTCATATTTATGTCAATTCTGATAATTTCTTCTTCATAGCTTTCCAAAAAGCAGTAAAGAGCCATCACCAAGTTGCCTTTGCTGACTCACAGCCACCAAGTTGCTGCAGAACAACTCCACACGGCTAACTCAGCGTAGCCGGCTGGAGGGAGAGCCAGGTAGATAGGCAAAAAGGTGGGCAGAGTGCAGAGTGTATTGGGGTGGGCAGCAGGGAGGTGACAGCAGCTGGGGCTTCCCATTTTCACACACAACCTGCCACCATTAAGCAGACTGTGATCACTACACTTGGAATGCATCTTGCCTAGTACTGGTTTCTTTGGCTCATTGAGCCAAAGGGAACTGGGAGGGGTTTTTTTAGAACAAATTTTATTGGTTTTTTAACTTTTACAACAAAATGCTCGAGACACACCGTGGTGATGGGATAGTCAAACATCCAAGAACGAAATCATATATGAATAACTCAAGTAAATACATTAAATATTCCCTCTATTTCCCTCAAATAGTATAATATATTTAAAATGATCCATTTCTACATTAGATTTCTATAGATCCTAATCCTGTTTTCAAACTTTATTAATTTACAATTATCATAGTCCAATTTAATCTTAAATAAGCATATTATCTTTTTGGGTACCCCTTCCAAATGTATTCTAGGAACTGGGAGTTTTCTTGAGAGATCAGTGGTGGGTGCCACCAAGACAATGTGGTCCTGAGACTAGCCACCTATTTCATATCAAACATCTTTCAAGGTTTTACAAATGACAGGAGATAATCTTACCAAATTTTTCTCTGAATTAGTTTTTTCATGGAATACAGTTTGAAGAAATTATTTGCACACAGAGCCATAAGAATTTATCTCAGTTGCACATTCTAGGAGACCAGAAGACTAAGCACATATTTGTGTCCTACAAGACAGAGAGTGCTGAGAGATGAATTATCCACCCTCCATTAACAGATGGGGCAGGAAATATACAGCACAGCAATAATTTATTCTGGTCATAATTTATGAGTTCTGTATGGCATTCACAGCCTCTTGATTTCATTGATAGACATCTGCAGGGTTGTGACTTGGGTGAAGATGACAACAATTATTAAATATTACCAGTAAATAAATTACAAATACATTCACTTCAGTAGAGACAGCCAACCATTTAGTGCTGCAGATGGTACTGTAACTTCTATTGCAACCCCAGAATGGGGATATGGTGTATCACTGTCCCATTAGCTTCATCCTCAGTAATCAAGCATCAGGAATCCAAACCAGATAGAAGGGACTATAATAAAAAGCACATGCAATCCAATTGTTTAATATTGTTATTTCATTGATCAAGGGGTTATGGATTTACTTTTAGATGTTGCTGGAAGTATACTTTTTCCATATGTAAAGATGTTATAGGTTTTGCTTTCAGCTGAGGTTAATGTACACAACTGAGGAAGAAGGAATTTCCTCCACAGAAGTTCAAGTTCAAGTTCTGCCTTTGGCTAGAAAAGATAGAGTTAACCTTTTCCTGTTGGACCAGGTTGGCTTCTTCTGTTAAGTGTAATGGTCTGTCCCCAATACTCCTGTAATTAAATCAAATTCTTGCAGGTCATACACACGCCCTGATTTTCTTCTATGTGTCATCCCTTCAATTACTTGAACAATGCTATCATAGCCTCTTTCAGTCTGCTGTTCTCAAAGTTGAACATGTCCAATTCATTCAACTTCTCTTTGGTTTTGTTTTCCTAATTATCTTGTAGGTTGTCCCTGAATCTGTAAGGAACAATTTCTGTAGAGAAGTGCGGGGGAAGGTATTTAGATTCGCAACATTCTGTTACTGTAACCTTATAATAAAAATACAGATAGTCCTTGACGTATGACCACAATTGAGCCCAGAATTTCTGTTGGTAAAGGAGACATTTATTAAATGAGTTTTTGCCCCTTTCACGGCTTTTCTAGCCACAGTTGTGGCAAGTAAATCATTGCAATTGATAAGTTAGTGAATCTGGTTGTTAAGTGAATCTGGCTTCCCCAGTGACTATGCTTGTCAGAAGGTTGCAAAAGGTGATCACATGACCTTGGGACACCACAACGGTCATAAATATGAACCAGTTGCCAAGCATCTGAATTTTGATCACGTGACCATGGAGATGCTGCAAAGGTTGTAACTGTGAAAAACGGTCATAAGCCACTTTTTAAAGTGCTGTTGTAGTCACTAAACAAACTTGTAAGTCAAGGTCTACCTGTAATAACATTAGCATGCATAACTTTAATTTCCTAAAGTTTAGTTTGGTTTATCTCGAGGGCTGACACCAGTCTTCTAAGTTTGAATATGCTTTCCTCCTCCCTTTATCTTAATGAGAACTAGGGAGGGTCCTATCTGAGTCGCTTTCCCAAATTAATTTCCGCTCCAGACTCAAGATTTCTTTTATCTGGATATTGTCTTCATAGCAGCTCTTCCTCCTGTTCCTCAAGATTATTGCAGAATTATTCCTAAAGTCTATGGTGGGATTCAGCCGGTTTGCATTGGTTCGGCAGGACCGATACCTAATTTTTTGTTAAGTTTGGCGAACTGGTTATGATAAATCTGTATTTTCCAGAACATGTCTGGTTTTCGTTCAACTTCCTTCCAGGTGGGAAAAAAAAGACCATCCTCAAAAATCCAAGAAAGGAGTGATGGAAACCAAATGAAGATGCGGCATTTTTGATCATGTCACTCAGGCAAAAAACTAGGTGGTGCTTCTCAGAGGTAATTTCAGGAAGAGATGCTTCATCTCTCTAGTTTCCCGAATGGTGCATTCGGGAAAGGGAGTGGTCATTTGAGCAGAGAACCATTTGCTAAATTATTTGAATCTCATCACTGCCTAAAGTGGTATCCTTTTCAAAATGACAAGTCTAGAAAACAGCTCAAAAGATGAATCAGTATAGAATAGAGTGGAACCTACTCTGATAAGGCTTATTACCGGATTATCTGTGTGTGATTTATAAAAAGTGCACTAATACTAAAAATGGGGCTCTTGTTTTACTTGAAGTATATTTGCCAACAAGATGGAAGTTTGAGTTCTTTTAAAACAAGTTCTGAATTATCCTTTGCTAAAGATCAGTATAATTTGCTGATCAAAATAGTTTACTGTGTCCACAGGGGGGCATCCGTGCTGCAGTTTTTAAGGAAATTGGGTTTTTGGTTTGGTTTTATTTTGTTCTTATAGTTTATTGACCTTGCCTCTTGTACCCTCTTTGGCTCCATTATGAGTTCTTAGTAAAACTTTTTCTAACTGGTGGTATTGAGAAACAGTTCTCAATTAGACTTATTTTCAATGGGCCCTTTCATTAGCCATGGTTTCCAGTGTCATCCTATACTACTTTCCCCATGTTTTATTGCCTTGAATACTTCCAAGCAGGAAATCTACTTGGCTATAATATTAAGTGGAGGAAATGGATACTGCCTTAATAGACTCTCTCTCTCTCTCTCCCCCCCCCTCTCCTTTTCTCTCTCTCTCTCTCTCTCTCTCTCTCTCCCACACACACACACACACACACACACACACATTCTTAATTGGAA